AGGACTGTGGAGGGGAGGTCTGTGGAGAGGAGGACTGTGGATGGAGGTCTGTGGATGGAGGACTGTGGAGGGAGGTCTGTGGATGGAGGACTGTGGATGGAGGACTGTGGAGGGGAGGTCTGTGGAGAGGAGGACTGTGGATGGAGGTCTGTGGATGGAGGACTGTGGAGGGAGGTCTGTGGATGGAGGACTGTGGATGGAGGACTGTGGAGGGGAGGTCTGTGGAGAGGAGGACTGTGGATGGAGGTCTGTGGATGGAGGACTGTGGAGGGAGGTCTGTGGATGGAGGACTGTGGATGGAGGACTGTGGAGGGGAGGTCTGTGGAGAGGAGGACTGTGGATGGAGGTCTGTGGATGGAGGACTGTGGAGGGAGGTCTGTGGATGGAGGACTGTGGATGGAGGACTGTGGAGGGGAGGTCTGTGGAGAGGAGGACTGTGGATGGAGGTCTGTGGATGGAGGACTGTGGAGGGAGGTCTGTGGATGGAGGACTGTGGATGGAGGTCTGTGGAGGGGAGGTCTGTGGAGGGGAGGTCTGTGGAGGGGTGGTCTGTGGATGGAGGTCTGTGGAGGGGAGGTCTGTGGAACACATTTACTCAGTTGATCTGGGAGAACAGGAGCCATGAGGGAGACATAGCAGACAGGGCCCTTGGCCTCTGACCTGGCCCAACATGTTTGTAAGAAGGGGAAACTGAGGCTTGAAATGGAAAGTGACGTGGCAGGTTCCCCGGTGCTGACCCAGGGAGGACACTGCTCCTGGTTCGCCCATGAACAGTGAGGCCTCCTCTGTGGCTAGCAGACTGGCCCAGAGGTCATTACCCTGCAGAGGCGGGGAGGGGCCCTTCCCGAGGCCTGGCCTCCCACCAGCCCTGCCAACGGCCCAGACCACTCCCTACCGAAGACCTGGCAGCTGGCTGTCGCTCCATCTTGTGCAGGGGCCACCTCAGTGGTCTCCCGCTCCTTCCCTGTTCCCACACCTATCCTCTCTCTCTCTCTCTTTTTATTAATTCTCACCTGAGGACATTTTTTTCCATTGATTTTCAGAGAGAATGGCAGGAAGGAAGGGAGGGAGAGAGAGAGAAACATCTTCCATACACGCCCCAACTAAGGCTGGGGATCGAACCCACAACCCAGGTACCTGCCCTGTACCAAAATTGAACCCCAGAACCTTCAGTGCACAGGCCAGTGATCTAACCATTTAGCTATGGGCCAGAGGGACACTTGTTCTCTTTATAGCCGCCAGGGGGAGACTGTGAGGACCACGGGGGAATGTCTCTCCTGTGCTCAAACACTGCAGACTCCTCACCTCACTCCCTGTGAAAGCCAGAGTCCTTACAGAGATGTGGCTGCTTGTCACCTCTCTGTCCCCATCTTTTCCCGCTTGCCCACTGCTCTCTCTGTGCCAACCACACCAGCCTCTGCCATTCCTTGAATATTCCCAGCCTGTGCCCGCTCAGGGCCTCTGCACTTGCTGCTGCCTCTCTCTGCAGTGTATCCTCAGACAGCGGCATGCTCACTGCTTTAGTCCTTCGAATTTCAAGGGTGAGTTTCCTGAGCCCCCATATGAAACAGCTCCCAGCCCCTTCCCTGGCTGTATTTTTTTACAGCACTGCCCCACCTAATGCAACACACTACATCATGTACTCACTCACTCTGCTTCCTGTCTGTATCGCAGCTAGAAAAGACTGGAAACTTTTTCTCATTCCTAACTCTTAGAATGGTGCCTGGAACATAGTAGGTGCTCAATAAATATTTGCCAACCAAATGGATGAATATTTCTGCTGCACTCAAGTTGCATGACCTTGGGCCAGTCCATTGTTTGGACCTCAGAGATCTGTCTCTGAAATAGGGAGGGTGACTGAGTGGAGGAAAAGACAGAGGTTAGAAATCACTGGCTGACTCCTCCATAAACATGTGCGGAGCAGATGTGAAACCTGCCTGGCCCACCTCTGGCCCCGGGCCTTCATATTTGCACACAGCCCCAAGGCGAGGAGGGCCTGCAGGTTACCAGCCCAGGTCTGAACCTGAATGCAACTTCTGGATCTCAGTGGCATGTGCCTGGTCTGGTGGCTGGAGTCCAGAGCCCTCTTCTCTGCTTCTTGTGCCCACCTGGTGGCCCCTGGCTCACCCCTGCCCCTGGTGGCATACCAGTGAGCCTCACACCTGGCAGCCCTGCTGACCCCTTTGCCTGCACCCTGCAAGCCCATGCTGGCGTCTCCTTCATGGCTCCTGCTATTATTTAGCTCTGGGACAGCTTTTGGACACAGAGTTCCAGGAAAGCACCTCTTCAGTGCTGGGCAAACCAACGGGCACCGTCCAGGCCCAGGCTCTCCTGAACACGGTGACACCTCACCAGGAAAGAGCGGGCCCTTTGAGACTGGGACAGCCCACTCTCGCCCATAGAGCTCTCCCACCAGTCAATGGGATGGGCCCCTGCGCCTCACTTAGCCTGGAGTAGAACTCACTTAGCCTGGAGTAGAACTCATTGGTGGGTAGTGGAGTCAGACCCTGGACAGAGCAGGGATCTGGCCAGCCAGCAACCTCCCCTGCTGGTCATTCCCTCAGCATTTACCGAGTGTCTGCTGTGTGCTGGGTGCTGCTGCCATGGTCCCGTGGAATCTGCCAATAGAGTCTGAGAGGACAAGCAAGAGTTTGGGGGCCACGAAGACCTAAGTTTGAATCTTGATATTGTCACTTCATTCATTTGCTAAATTCCTGTTGAGCACCTCCTCTGAGACCTCTCCAGGCACTTATGGTCAAGTAGGGATCAGACTGTCTTGCTGTGTGTTGACAAGCCTTTGACAGCTCTGAGGGATGGGCAGAAGCCTGCGGGGTACCTGGGGGCTGTCCTAGGACATGGCACTGCCTCTTAGCACTTAAAGAAAGGCCCTGGCCAGGCAGGGGTCTTCCATCCCCTTTGGCAGATGTGAGTCTGGACCTTCCACCAGATGGCCCCAGGAACAACGCCGAGGGCGCTGGACAGATGAAGGCCTCCGCTCTCCTTTGGGATAAGCCATGGAACCGCCATCTCATTCCTTCCACCCCCGAGGGCATGAGGGGGGAATCCAGAACCCATGAAGGGCAGCCCTGAGCGCCCTGCTGCCCTTGCCCTGGTGCTCTCCATCCCCACCCCCTGTTGTTCTCTAAAGGCGCTGCTGGCTCCCAGAAGAGAAGGCCCCGGCCTGGCTATGCTCACAGGAAGGGTTGGCCTCATTCAGTCCTTCACTTACCCATTGATCCATTCAACATGCTCACTGCTTTAGTCCTTCGAATACTTCCTGAATGTGCGCCAGGCACCATTCCAGATATGGAGGCCACACAAACAAAAATACGTACACAAATAGGTAAATTATACGGCACATTAGCAGCCAGGGAAGAACATTCCAGGCAGAGGGACCAGCAAGGACAAAGGCTGTGAACTGAGTGGGCCTGCAAATGCAAGGGCGGTGAGAAGGAGGGTGGGGGTGCGGTCACAGTGGTGGGCCTGACCGTGAGGGCCCTCCACAGCTGTGAGGGCTCTTCCTTCTTGTAGTCGCTCCAAAACCAGGGTGGGTGGGAGCCTTTCCTGCTCCTGGGGAAGAGGCAAGCGCTGCCGTCACAGTCTGGCCGGTCTTGACCTTCTGTGGGTGGCCGCATGGAGGAGGGGGCTGAGCCAGGATGTGACAGGGACAGGCTGAGGCAAGGGTCAGGTGGCACTGTGACAGGTCATGGATCAGTTTATGGCTGGGTTGGTGTCCCCAGCAGGTATTTGTTTTTTTGTCTAACGGTGCACACAGTGGGCCTCTCCTGGCTCACCCAGCAGCCTTAGGTCTGAGGGACCCTGGTTCCCAGGTCAGATCATAAAGGTAGGGATGAAACAGTCCGCATTTTAAAGATGGGGAGCCCAGGGAGGAGCTGGGCTGCCCAGGGACTGCTGGCTGGGAGCAGCGGCTTGCAGTCAGCGCCTTCACAGGTGAGCCAGGGGTCAGTCAGCCCGGAGGCTGTTTCGGGTCCATTTCTGGGAGAGAGGCTGCTCTTTGTCCCCAGGTGGGCGCCGAACTCATGAGTCTGGATGCTCCGGGCCTGGCAGTAGGTAGTTTCCTTGGCAGAGGATCAGCATGAGCAAGAAAACAGCGAGGCTCTGGGCACGTGGGTTGATTAGGTCCGGGCGAGGGCCCAGGCTCTGTTTTGAGTTTCCCAGTTGACACTGGGATTGTCGGTTCACGCCACTCGGGAACGAGTGGTCTCTGTGCCGCCAGCCCCTGCAGTCCTCAGCCAAGGACGTGGTGGCACAGCAATCCTGGCATGAAACCCTTTTTTGCTCTCCCCACCCCAACCCAGAGGGGGCTGGAGCAGTGAGGTGGAGATGCTGCCCAGAGGGGTGGGGAGGAGCCCCTAGCCTGGATGTGTGGGGAGGTTGGTAGGTGCGGGTGGGAGTTAGGAGATGGGGAGAGGGGAGGTGGCCCATCTCTGAACCACAAAACCCGTGCTCTTCCCCTCTTACCAGAACAGAGAGGGGTCTGAATGGAAAGCTTGGTGAGGGTTGAGGAGAGTGAACCACTAGTGAGTGGAGACCAGAGGAGCTCGGAGAGAGCCAGGTCCGACAAGGCTGTGTGGTCTGTGGCTCAATAATCCATAATACATCGATAATAGAATAGACCGACCCCTATAGGTCGGACACGTGTCTGGAAAGAAGGGTGGGTAGGTGGATGGAGAGGCGAATGAATGAATGAATGGCTGCGTAGGCGGTGAGACGCCCAGCAAGGCGGTGGCCAGCCCAGCGCTCAATCACAGTCCCTTGGCATCACGCCCTCCTGACCGCTCAGACCACCCCCCAAACACACACACACTGCTCAGAACGCCCCCCTCCCACCGCAGCCGCCTGGGGCGCGTAATCCCAGGCTCCAGGCGGCTTGGGGACTGGGGCAAGGAGGGGCCACACCACTGCGCGGCTCTACGCCAGCCTTTAGCGTCGCGGCTGGGCCACCCCTCTACCGAGGGGTGGGGGTCAGGAGGGGAGGAAGCCTGGAGGTGTGGTCCGCCTTGAAATACCCGCCCCCTCCCCGCCGCTCTTCTTTGTCTCCGGCTAGTCCTCCACTGCCTCCCGACCATGACCTGCTTCTTCAGGCAACCCTGGCCGCGCAGGCTTCCAGGCTGCTCCTGGATCCCAAGTGTTAGCTCCAGCTGCCCCCAGGCCTTAGGCAGCTTCCCCTGCCCAGCAGGGTTCTGCAACCCGTGTCTCCAGCACCTGGGGCTGGCAAGTGCCAGGATCCGTGTCTAAGCTGCGTCTCCGGTGCAGAGAGGGGGCGCAGGATGAAGTCCCCGCCTCTCCGCTTTCCCTCTTCCTCCCATCCTCCCCCACTGCTCGGCGCTTTGCCCCTGACCCCATCGCAGCCTGTTCGAGCCTTAGTGGCTCTTCTGCGGTTATGGGATCCCCGAGAGCACTCGGTACACCGCCACCCCCACCTCCCCCGCCGGGCCTTAGCCCACACGCAGAACACAGCCCCATGCAAGATCGCCCTCACACACACCACAGCCTTTCGCGGACGCACGGCCCTGCACAAGCGCACTGCCTCCTCCATGCACAGCCCCAACAGCCACAATCCCACTCGCAAACAAGCCCACACATAACACAACACCCCTCAGACACACTCGGGCCCACGCAGACACAATTCCCCCCCCCACACAACCTCACACAGACACAGCTCTGCACAGGCGCAGTCACACCCACGCAGTCACACCCCCCCATAAACAATCGCATACAAACATGACCCACGCAGGCACCGCATCACTCGGTTCCTCTGAGACCCAGAGACACATTCACAGCTTGCAGCCATTCACAGCTCGCAGCCAGACCCCTACACCCCGTGACATTCACACGTAGGACAGACCAGCAGTATACCGCCTCATTGATACACACACGGACTTCAACGCGCAGCCAAGAAGAGCTCACCCACCGGCTCGTAAGTCACTGGAAAAATATTAAAGCGTTCCCTCCCTCCCTTTTTATCTCTGGGTA